TTTTTTTTTTTTTGAGACAGAGTTTTACTATGTCACCCTCGGTAGAGTGCTATGATATCACAGCTCACAGCAACTTCAAACTCTTGGGCTTAAGCAATTCTCTTGCCTCCGTTTCCCAAGTAGCTGGGACTACAGGCACCTGTGACAATGCTCAGCTATTTTTTTGTTGTAATCGTCATTGTTGTTTGGCAGGCCCAGGCTGGGTTTGAACCCACCAGCTCCAGTGCATTTGGCTGGTGCCCTAGCCCCTGAGCTACAGGCACTGAGCCAGTTTTTCTCTTTCTTTGTAGAAGTGGTGGTGGGGGGGTGGCTAGCTCAGGCTGGTCTCGAACTCCTGGCCTGAAGTGATTCCATCCCCACCCCACCCATCCCATGCTTCACCCCTTCGGCCTCCCAAAGAGCTGGGATCACAGGAAGGAACCACCACACTCAGACCCAAACAGCAATTAAAGGTCCTGCTCCCTCTCAATATTGCTACATAGGGATTAAGTTTCAACATGAGTTTTGGAGGAGAATTTTGTTAGAAAAATTGTAATAGACACATATGACACATCCCATATGACACTGTGATCTTGAGAAGCTCACCGGGAGTGATGGCTATAGGGAAAGTGGACTAGGTGGTCAGATTTTCCCATGAAATAGCGTCGTCTGTCTGGCAGAGAATTTGCCCTATCCTCCCCTCCAGCCACAGACCTCTCAATGAGCACACTGATGGTAGGTTCTTGGGTCCCACTGGCTTCCACCAGGTGGAGGGAAGCATCTGTGCACAGCACCACACATTTCATTTGGGATTTCACCGGATCCTCAGGATACATATTCTGTCCCTTGTAGACCAAGAAGTATTTTAGGAAATGAATACTTTGGCAGAAACATCCTTCAGGAAGAGCAATGACCCCAAGAGGGAATCCTAGAAAAATAATTACATGAGGAGGTCAGAAAAGTGGGTGAGGGGAGGCAGGCACAGGTGCAGGGTCTGTGCCCAGCAAGTATGTGAGGGACTTGCAAGATAGGAGGGCTCCCTCTGAGAGGGAAACCAGTAAAGCCAGTGCTCGGTCAGAGAGAAGAGCCCCCTACAGGGGACCCGCCTGTGATGGAAAGGAGGGCAGAGTCAGTTCTGGAATGGAAGGAAGCTATGACCCAGCCAGGAACTGAACTCCAGCTGCCCCCAGAGTGCAAAGGTGCATGGACAGAGGGGGGTGGCTGTAGGAAAGGAGGGTGTGTGTGTAGCCAAACAAAAATTTACCAATATCAAAAAAACCCAAAAAACAAAAAATGAACTATTAGTCAACTGCTTGCAAAATTATGTTACCTTTCCTTGAAATACCTGTTGTTTCTTCAATACTGCTGTTGGTTTAATTAATAAAATTCCGGAGGGCCTTTAATGATTTTTCTTGAAGTATCATGTGGGGAGAATGCCCTCCAATTTGAAATAACCACTAGACTCTTCAGGTGGAGACTGCCAGCCCTGCCCTGTCTCCCTTGTTCCCCAACAGACAGCAGCTTTCTCAGGTTTTCTTCTCCCGTAGGAGGGCTGCCTTGTTCACCTCCATGCTAGGGACACATCCCCAGCTCTAGAATGGCAAATCATTGATTCATTGTTTTTTAAAAAGTTTGGTGAGAGGGAGATACCTCCCTAGAGACTGATCAATTCAGGGTAAAGATGTCATTTATTTTGATACCTGCAAAGCAGGACCCTGACACCCCAGCAGGTGTTATCCACCCAGCGTAGTTACTCATCTCACTTTGCTTTGTAGGTCTCTTAGCTCTGATATCAATAGTGTTCCTGCTGCCTGGCTTATTGTGAGAGCTTTAGGGGGTGGGGGTGAACAGACCTGAGGCCATGTGTCCTCCTGTGCTGTGCTAGAAGACCCTTCTTCACTAGAATGTAGTAATGAAGGCAATGGTTGTACTTCCAGCACCTGGCACATATACATGCTGATGCTTCCCACTGCTCGGGTATTATTGAGTGCCTGGCATAGAACAGGCACTCAATAATACCCAAGCAGTGGGAAGCATCAGCATGTATTATGTTCAATAAATATTTGTTGAATGAATAGAGGGGAAAGCAGAACCAGCTCCCCAATGTGACTGTAAGAGCACAGAGGTGACAGGAGTCCTAGAGCCTGCAGGAACTCCAGAGCTCCTGGAGTCTCACTGCCCAGAGTCCCACCCCAGCTCACCTTCAGCCAAGTCCCAAAGTGTAAGCACGCCGTCCTCACAGGCCAGCACCAGGTAGGATGAGGAGCAGCTGAGTTGAGAGACTGCAATGGGTGCAGCACAGGGCCACACGTTCTCGGGGTCTAGGGGGGAGGACACTGCTCACCAGAGAATCCCAGACCCTGTACCTGCCCATCACTTCACCTGGACAACCTGATACCCTAATGTCTGACTGTTCAGGGCCTGCACACCAGGAACACTTGTCTGGACTCACATCTCTCTCCTCTTCTTATAACAACATAATGAGAAGTCATACTATCCTTATTCTGTAGCTGACATTTAATGAGTACTTCTAAGTGCTAGATGCTGTGATAAGCACATGCATCTTTTCACTTAATTCTCACAAAGTTTCTATGAAGTAGGTCCTATTAGTACCCCTATTTTACAGATGAGGAGATTGAGGCAGAGAAGTGACTTGATGAAGGCCACTTAGACCAGAAGTGGAGATTAGAAGCCATGTGTCAACTAGCATTTCTTTTCTTTTCTTTTCTTTTTGAGACAGAGTCTCACTATGTCACCCTTGGTAGAGTGCTGTGGCATCACAGCTTACAGCAACCTCAAACTTTTGGGCTTAAGCGATTCTCTTGCCTCTGCCTCTCAAGTAGCTGGGACTACAGGCACCTACAACAATGCCCAGCTATTTTTTTGTTGGAGTTGTTCAGCTGGCCCAGGCCAGGTTTGAACCCACCATCCTTGGTGCATGTGGCTGGCGCTGTAACCACTGTGCTATGAGCGCCGAGCCTTCAGCTAGCATTTCTGTGGACAAAATGAAAAAAGAAGCTATGCTGCCTGGGAGAGGGATGGAAGGAATGAAATTTCTCCTTTGTAAATTTTTAAACATTACTTTGAAAATATAATACTGTATTAAAGTATAACAAGTGTACAGCTGGAGAAATTATTATTTTTGAGACAGAGTCTCACTCTATTACCCTGGGTAGAGTGCTGTGTTGTCATAGCTCACAACAACCTCAAAACTCCTGGGCTCAAATGATCCTCCTGCCTCAGCCTCCTGAGTAGCTGGAATTACAGGTGCCCACCACAAGGCCTGGTTAGTTTTTCTATTTTTTTCTCGCTCTTGGTCAGGCTGGTCTTGAACTCCTGAGACCAGGTGATCTACTCACCTCAGCCTCCCAGAATGCTGTGATCACAGGCTAGAGCTACTTGCGCTTGAGCCAGCTGAAGGAATTATTAAAAGTGACCTTGCTCATGTAACTACCTCCATGAATTTGTAAAACAAAACCCACCTATATTTCCTTTGTGTCTCTCAATTTCAAAGAGCTTTCATGCTTTCCTGTACAGAGACTCTGGATCTTGCTACTCTCAGCTAAATGCATGCAGTAGATAGCCATGGCATCATTAATTGGCTATGTTTCATGTGAGCTGACAGAGGACAGAGGCATAGGCGACTGGCCTGAGACTACATGGTCTACAGACAGGTGGTCAGGGCTAGGGCTGGAATTCTGAGGCCAGGCCCACTCTCTTTTTACCTTAGCTGCCTCAGGACCCCTGTGGACCTGCCTCTGGGCTTTGTTCCTACTGATCTACCATCTTTAAGAAATACAGCAGTTCAGAGATAGAGCCTTTGGGTCACACTGAAGCCCCCACTGCCCCCGTTTCTGCCTGCATGCTATGGTCCCCTAAAGTGATGCTGATGTGCCAGTCACATTCTCTCAGCTATGCTGGAGCAAGACATGTTCTGAGAGACCAGAGCTTAGGCAATCTGTCCAGCAGTTAAGTACCAGCTTTATCCTTCAGAGTTCGCTGCAGCGAATAGAGGAAAAAATTGTGACTTCCACTCCAGTGTATGCTGAGGACACACGCTACTCCTGGGAAAGAAGAGAGAAGAGGGTGTCATGTAAAGTCTTAGAGGTACCTGGTTTGAAGTCTGAAGTGGTTTGTTCTAACAGGCAGCCCCTAGCAGAAGGGTGAGCATTCCAAGAAAGAGGGGTGGGCACCCCCAGGAGGGCTGTTCCTGTAGCCCATGTGCCTCCCTGTGTAGGGAGAACATCATAACTGCCCCTTGGCTACTTACACATTTAGAAAATTCATATCCACTTGGATGTGTTTTAAGTAACATTTTCTTTTCTTTTTCATTTTTTTACAGATGGGGTCTTGCTCTGTTGTCCAGGCTGGAGTGCAATGGTATGTTTATAGTTCACTGCAATCTTGAACTCCTGGGCTCAATCCTCCTAAGTAGCTGGGACTATAGATACATGCCAGCACATCTGGCTATTTTTCTTTCTTTCTTTTCTTTCTTTCTTTCTTTTTTTTTTTAATAGCGATGGGGCCTGGCTATATTATTGTCCAGGTTGGTCTCAAACTTTCCTGGCCTCAAGCAATCCTCCTATCTTGGGTTCTCAAAGCGCTGTCATTACAGCCATGGGCCACCGTTCCTGGCCTAAGTAACATTTTCTACAAGACAAGATCATATCCAGAAGTGGCTGGTGAATGTGTGCTTACACCCTTCTCTCCTGCAGACTATTCCCTGATGGCAGTGGCAGCCTCCATCATCAGGAAAACTGTGCTCAGGGGCTACAGAGCCACACACAGACTGCCAAGCTGCAGCTAGGAGCCCAATTCTCCTTCATTCCCTCCTGGAATACAGGGTGTGTTGTGTGGAATGTCTCTAGGAGGGCTTGCTGAGGGATTTCCCCAAGATGACCACTTGCTGGGACAACTACCAACTTCACGTTAACTTACCTGAGGGGTTCTTGACTTCTGTTGGCATTGCAAAGATGCAGCTAGGAAGGAGGAAGTGGAAGGTGGCCGTGCTGGGAAAGAAGGAGACACTAGTCAGAGCCATGCAGGCTCTTTAGCAAGGTCTTAGTTCTGAAATAAGAAATGAATAGTTAGGAGACACTGTCCGTGGGGACAGGGCCAGGGAGTAAATCACATTCTAGGTGCTGCTCCTATTGGGATGTGCAGATCTTGGACCCTGGTGAGGGCAGGGCAGGTGCAGCTGGGAGGCACACCCAGGCTAGTATGGTGCAGGGCAGAGCTCCTGCCAGATCAGGCTCCCTTAGGGAGAGCAGCTTCTGTTTTCTAGGAGAATTCCTTTAAGAGCTGACTTGAGTGATCTGTATAAATGTTCTCTTATCCAAAGACAACACACCAGTGGTGTACTGATAAAAAAAAAAAAAAGAAAATCCCTGATTCCTAAATACTCCCACAAGGGACAGTTAACAGTGGCTTAACAACTGGCTTACAAAATTTCTGAATCTTTCACCAGGCAGTAAGAGCAAACCCCGGTACTTGGAGAGGTTCTAGTCAGTAACAATGAGTTGCCTCAGGACTTTGTGTCCGAAGAAAGAAACGTCACAGTCCACATGACAGTGAGAAGATAGGTTTCACTTCCCATGTGAACACAAGAACATTCCCTGAGTAGAGCTAGTTCCTAAAACCAGTTCCACATGGATATCTCAAAGACTTGGCCTCAATTTTTACTATCACAACATGTGGTTAATGAGGCCTAAGAGCTGGCTGAAATTAGAAAGTAATATATTAGAAAATAATTGTATCATACCATACCATGTTACATTTAGAAAGGCAGGAAAGAAGAAAAATTTTAATTTCACTTCTGTCTTTAGGATCTTCTGTGTTTTTTAGATGACCAGGAAGAAAAATCTTTTAAAAAAGATGTCATACATAAAACCATAAAATAAATTCTATTTCATTTTTATTGGTGTCTATCTCATCTTTCTTTCTATTTTTTTAATTGTTGGAGAATCATTGCGGGTACAAAGAACCAGGTTACACTGCTGCATTTGTTAGGTAAAATCCCTCTTATAAATGTGTCCCACCCCCAAGAGGTGTGTCACACATCGTGACCCTTGAACCCCCTCCCTCCTTCCCTCTCACTGCTCCCCTATCATGTACTGGCATCAATTGTCCACATATTGGAATTGAGTACATTGGATTCTTGCTTCTCCATTCTTATGCTTTACTAGGAAGAATGTATTTCAACTCCATCCAAATTAATACAAAAGAAGTAAAGTCACCAACTATTTACTGGCGGAATAGTATTCCATGGTATACCTATACCACAGCTTGTTAATCCATTCCTGGGTTGGTGGGCATTTAGGTTGTTTTCACAGTTTGGCAATTGTGGCTTGGTGCCTGTGGCTCAAGTGGCTAAGGCACCAGTCACATACACCTAAGGTGGCAGGTTCGAATCCAGCCTGGGCCTGCCAAACAACAATGATGGCTGCAACCAAAAAAAACCAGCCAGGTGTTGTGGCGGGTGCCTGTGGTCCCAGC